CGGCCCGCCCGCGGGGCCGCGGCGGGGGCGAGCCCGCCGTGCCCAAGGTGACCCCGCCAGGCCGCGGCCCTGCGGCGCCGCCCGCCCCGCGCCCCCGAGCATCCCCGGGGACACCCGCCGGGCCCGCGCCCCGCGGGCGGACGGGAGGGAACTCGCACTTGCCGCCTGTGCACTGACTGTTTTTACGTGGCTCATCAGACTATAGAAAAAAAAACCGTAGAAAGTAAGCGGGCTGCCAGGAAAAAAAAATTTTTTTCCTCCCCCCCTTTAGCTGCCACCCATCATAAATAGCTACAGCTACGCGTTTTCAAGCGGTATTGTGACTTTCAAGTCGATGATAGCTCTCTTTATATATTTACCATATGAAACACTTTGAGCGTTTTAGCTCTGGAAGGAAATGCTTATCAAAAGAAAAAAGGCTCTATTTTATGTGAGGAGAGTGGAGAGCAGAAGTGCTAATCTTATGGATCACAAACTATATATTCTGCCAGGACAATGTATGTCATACCCATGTTTCTGGCAGCCTTCTTTCCCCAAGGCTGCAGGAATTGCTGTGGCAGCAGCCGTCCTGGCTATCATCCTTCACAGAGGGGCTATCAAAATCCTCTCCCAACACCGTGGGCTGTGTGCCTGTGAAGCACATGCTGTCACAGCCCAATACTGAATTTCCTTATTCTCTAAGACAGGATTTTATACATTAATGCCCACTAAAGCACATACTTCCAGGAACCTTCCAGTCTCCTGAGACTGTGCAGTGGAGTACATTGTATGTGAACACTGGGCAGATTTAGCCAGCGTGTGGCTCTACCTTGACAGTTGTACAAACTGCCTGGATTATACAGCTGCGAAGTTTTGGGAACACTAACCAGAATTATCTTGGTGTTTTGTAAGTTGAGGTTTGATCAATGAACTTTTCAGTTAAGGGACTTTCTCTTGATTTTCTTCACCTTTACACTTGCATTATCCTGATCTGTGTGAAACTACTTGCTTCAGGGGAGTACGTGTGCTTCTATGATTAAAGAAGCAGTCTCTGAGGAAGCCAGGTCTTTATTGCTTTGAAGATCAGAAAGAAGATGTAGACATGGTGAGGAAATAACCTGCAAACCATTGGAGGCGGTGAAGCTGCTAATGTTGAAGAGAGCTGTCTCATTTTGCCAAAGCTGGAATCTGTGTGTTCTTTAGGCACTTACCCAGAGGTTCAGTGATTAACTGGTAATTCACTGCCAAGCAAAGGCATGTAGTTTGCAACGGCCAGATCTGTACCAGGAGGAGAAGTTAAGCATGGGAAAAGGAGAGGATACTTTTGTCATCTATCATCTTGATCACTCATACAAGGACAAAAACCAGAAATCTGAGATGCTGTAGTGTTTAAATAAATATCCGAAGATGCTATCTCAGAGAGGTGAAGATCTTATCCCAGTTTTAAACATTTTCCCCGCTCCAGCCATCATCATTTTCATTTTGGCCAGATTGAGTCTGAGTCAGCTGATTTTCATCCAGGTGCTGACAGGCATTTTGATATCCTTGAGAAGACAGCAGCAGCATCACTAACAAATGAGATGTGCTGCAGCCTCTTTAGCATATTCTTGTCTTTACAGCTCATCCCTTCGCTAGCCAATTATGGCTCCCTTGTGGGAATCCACCGAGGTCCAATAGTCATTACTGCCCTTTGGGATTTAGTGGACAAGGATCAGTTGGTCATTGCATGTACTCCAGCAAAATCCTACATGTACACATCCAGCACCACATACACATGTGCACCAGTGCAATGACACTGGTTCTTAAGTAAGCACGTGCTCTGAATGCACATGGAGCACTGATGGATTTGCATAAATGCTTATACCCAAGCACCCTCCTAATCAGAAACATAACAAATATAAGTCAACTGTGCTGTGAAACAATAAATGAACCATTTCCACGGTCCTGGCATTACACATCTCGGCAAAGATAACAGAAACAAGGAATTAGGGCTGGACATTTGTATTCTCATTCACACCACTTAGACAAATGCTGTATTAACAAGTTAATACTCATTGATTGCAGAGCATACTAATGGAGTATAGATTACGTATATATATTTACTTAGCATTCAGACTGTCAACTCTTATTCTAGCCCTAATCTTCAGTTGCCTTAATTTTCTTATATAAAATCCTTTTATGCTGAAATCTCTCATATCACTGCTCGTACAAAAGTAGTTTGTCTTCTTACTTTCCAGACAATTGATTAAAAAATCAAATAATGCAAATATGAAAAATGTTTTCTTTGTTAAAATATTTCACTGAGAGTGCAATCTAAAAAAATTCAAATTCCATTTGTTTTGCTGCTCTGTATGAGATTTTAAAAAATATACTCAGCTCAGCAGTTTTACAACTCTGTGCATTTAATGATGGAGTTTCAGTGACTCTCAGCAGGTTTTCATCCACTTTTCTATATATTTGTGGGAACCAACAATATCAGTTAGGAATATCCTAGTAAGACCAGTCTTTTTCTCTGATAAAACTGAAAGCTCTGTAGCAGATGTATAGTTCCCTCATGAAACTCGCATATTTTACTCTACATAGACTTAGAACTAAAAATGAGAGGATCATTTCAGGACAGAAAAGATAAGTTTCTGCTAGATCAAAGACTCTCACGTGCTTTTAATAGAAATCACCTGTTCCTATGGTAATGACTTCTGGAGCCACATATCATTTCACTCCATAATAATTCTGATTTCTAGATGAGATAGCAGCATTTCTGTAGCAACTACAGCAGTTGTTTTCAATACACATTTGAAACAAGTCACTAAATTTAAATCATTACGCATCTTCTTTTTCTTCTCTGGCATTTAAGGTGTGCCTGCATTGCAAGGGATTGGCATATACAGATTGATGGGTTTGCCCATCTGTACTAATAATTCTTACCCTGAGGGCGTAGGCTCTGCTCAGGTTATGAATACGTACCTGCCTTAGTTGTAATTCTCTTTTTATGGCCAGCCTGCCTTACCATTGCAGCAGTGCCTGTAAACTGCAGGGTTTGAATACCATTAGACTGCTCTTCCCCAAATCCCACATTTCTGCATTTTTGAATACCCCTAGGAGCCTCCTTCTCTGTTCCTAAACAGACTGATATATCTGGCATTTAACTCTTTGTTTTCCTTTCGGGTTGTTCCAGGCTCCTGGCACATTTCCCACTCTCAGCTCACCCCTGCTCTGCCAGCGTGGGATGTTTTTCTAGCAGGTTGCTAACGTGCCAAGAAGCATATGTATCTCTTTGTGAATATGGAAGATATTTTTCCAAATTTTACAGCTTCTGACCCAGAAACAGGAATATTCATCACTGCAGCATAATTTCAGATCTGCCAAGAATATATCAATTATGTCATGTAGGCGTGCTAAGGGAAAGGATGAAAGCAGGAGTACAGCGATTTCCCCTGCTCCCTGCACCAGCTACACAGGCAGCAACAAACCACAGCCTTGGGCAGGTCAGGCCGAATCCATTGATGCCAAATTCAGTCCTGTTGAGGACCCACCCGCTCAGAGAGGAGTAAAAGGTCTTACATGGCTTTTCCACAATATCTGAGATTGTCAGCCCCTGAATCCACGATGAAATTAAAGCAGCTTGGCCAAGAACTTTCTCTGCCAGATCTGAAAAATGTTCTTCAATGCCCTTCAGCTGGGAATCCAAATGGAATCTGGAGCCTCAGGAAAGTGTTCCAAACACCATAATTTTGAGGGACATTTTGGTTCAAAGGAGGGAGTCTTAATTAAGGGCAACTCGGGCTTCCTTCAGTATGGCTAGGTACACTTAGAGTAAAAAGCTCCAAAGGAAGTTTACACCAGCAGCCAACACCTCACTACTGCCACCCTTCCGTCTTGGCTTGGGATGTTTCCCAAATGTTTCCCAAGATAGCCAGTGGTCAAAAACACCCCACGTAAATATAAAAGCAAGGGATTTATATATTACCTTATTGATTTTTAACTACAGTTCACCACAAACCTCTCAAGAGCCCTAAAGTTGCAAGGTGGGTTTTTTTCCTGATGTTTTCAACTTATTTAAAGAAACTGGTACTATGCTTTTGCCGTCAGTATTGCCCCTTGACAAGAGAGCATTTTATCAAATTTTCTGTGGATAGTGACTACATATTCAGTCATAGGAGGTGGCAGGTGCTGTCTTATGATGAACGTCCTGCTGAGTACACGTGTTTTTTTCAGAGATAAACTGCAGCCGTCCTTAGTGGGCAAGTGCAGCTGCTCAGTTCTCGGCCTTTATCTCCCACCATCATTGGGCTCAGTGGGTGTAGTCTCTCCATATCAGCCAAGCAGCACTTTGGTCAGTTGCTTGTAACTGTTCTGCAGATTATTCCATATTTGTAGAAGATACTGCCTGCAAATTTGTGATTCAGAAGAAATTCCTAATTACTGTTACAGAAAATTCATACTGACCTGTCTCTGTAACTGGCTTTGTGATCATTTTGTGGGTATCTGGCTGGCATCAGGCTCATTTAAAAAATTTCCTTATTTGCATCAAGAGAAGTCAATGATCTTAAAGGCCTTTTTCTGACCTAAATAATTCTATGATTCTGTAAGTCCTTTGCTGTTCTACACGGGTGTTCCAGGTTTTTTAAGTCCATGATAGATTGCTCAGCCTAAGAAAAGCAACATATTTTATGTTATCTTGATTTGCTGCACTTCTGAAAAATTGATTTTGTACATATTGAGTAGAGGAAAACAAACAAACAAACAAATGCACATTTTGTCTTGTATTTTTAGTAGTTTAGCAATATATTTGTTTTGCTGCACGTGAACTATAGATGGAATGAAACATAAATCAAAATTGATGATATAGTTGTCTGACATTAGATTCTCGTTTAGTCACAGAGATTTGAATAGAAATTTGACTTCTTGTCTAGTCAAAGTTATTTTAAAATGCATAGCTCTTAAAAAACCTGTATAGTAAACCAGTTTCAGGGTAGTTGACTTAATTATCTGCATGCTTACCATAATTGAGAGGTGACCAATATTTTACTGATGACTGTTTGTTCTTACTGTATATTGAGACTCTGAATCACTTACCTTCTATGGAATAAAGAAGATTAGAAACAAAAGTAGTGGTGTTTTTTAATTTATCTTCTTATGTCTTTCTACAGAGATCTCCAAGTTAATTACAGCTGTTAATTTAAAGTAGACTAAGCTGTGTTAAATGCCTCAGTATCTATTTTTCTTCAGAATTAAAAATGACCTTAATTCAATGTAGCCTACCTCACTTTGGAAGTGAAATAAGCTAGGTTAACTGAAGGTCATTTTAATTCTAACTAAGAGAGTTCACACAAAGAGTTCACCAAGTTTTGTACATATTCTGCACCCAATAAGTGAGTAATGATGAGGAACTAGTAGTCACATATCTAAATCTAAGCTTTATTGTATTCTGCTCAAATGCATGTCCTGTAAATTGTGTCCCACTGTCACATATCACAGTATTGGGTAAAGAAGTCTAGCTAAAAAGGTTCTTAATGTGTAACCAGCTCTTCTGCTGTAGTATCTTTAGTAGTGCCATCTAAAAATAGGAAAACAGTCTAAGATGGTTTTCCTGGTTTATTATTTGTTTCTAGAAGCATATTTTTAAAACAGAAAAAAAAATCACTTTCATAAACCTTTAATTTTACCCACTTGTCTTTCTACAGCCTGTTGATTTTCTCTTAGCACAGTTGTAGAAACTGGGAGTTGGGCACATATGCCTAACTGGAGGTAGTATGTCCCATTTGCTCTCATCTTTTGCTGCAAGTGTGTTCTATTCCAAAGAAAACAGTCATCCAAGGCAGCAACGTGCAGTTTGTTCATGGTTCAGACCTCTGGCACTTACAGTCAAATTAATACAAGCTTTTGCTTTTCAGCATCCTCCATCCACTTTAGTTGTGTTGTTATTCCCTGATTATGATTTCAAGATCTGTGTGCTTTTCTGCCTCTAACATCTCTGTCTTACAGTATTTTGAGCTCTTGGCAATATCTAAGGTTTCAGAGCACTGTCCAGTCCAGCACTTATTCAAGTACTAGTATCTTGGCAGATTCTAAATTCCTTCATCCGGAGTCTGCTTCTCCCAGGAGTCTATTTCTGTATTATTTGCTCCACTTTCTGTTGAAAACCAGTGGCTTTTTAAAGTTTTAAGGGTTTTTTTAGCAATGTTTTAATCTACAAATCCTCACCAGATCTCCCCCCAAGGCAGGCTAATGTCATGCTTTATCGTACACCTCTAGCAGATAAAATTGTCACCCCAATCTTATAACGTACAAGATAGTTTTAAACCTTCAGGATCAAAGCATATAACATTTATATGCTTTATTTTTATTTAGACTGCAATACCCCTCATTTTTTTGTAACAGCCTCATGAATATCCTCCTTCTCTTGGGTTTTTGAGAATTGTTAAATACACCAAATGCGTCAGCGCTTGCTGTTTTCCAAAGGGAAACCTCCTTCTGATAGACTTGCTTTTAAAAAACACTTACTGCTTTCAGATGTACACTGAAGTTCTTGCTTCTTTTCCAGTAGTTTCTGGTATTTCCAGAGTTTGAGCTTTTCAATGCTTCAATTTCTTCTCAGTGTCTTTTTTTGATTTCTTTTTACTGCTAGTGCCATGAGTGAGGAGTCGTTCCAGGCTCAGAGGGTTTCAGTAGATGTTCTTTAATCACATGTGTCTGCAGTGCCTTTTCCTCACACTTTTAAACCAGAAAGCTAAATCTCAAAAAGAACATTTAGACCAGTAACCTTTCATTAGGAGAAATAATAAGAAAAAAATTATAGTATCATATTCATAGGTGTGAATCTATTGAAAACCAGTACTGAAAACAGCAAAAGCCACTTTGCATATGAAAAAAGCAGCCAATAAACCAGTCTATGAAGTTTATTTACTATTTTTAGATTGCTTTTGGCTTATGTTTGACTGACAAAGCTAGAAGAAATATCTATGGTGCTAGCCAAGTAGAACATATTAATCCTCATTAGCATAAAGAAGTGATTATTTCAAGTAGTTGTAATGTAAATGTCAATGTAAAAGCTTTTTCCTCTTGGCTCCACAGTCTAGGAAGCCATTGGCAGAATGTGCTTTGATATGGGTAGATATTCTGCATATTTGATAGATGCATGACTGATTCACCAAGAAAGGGAAGTTGAATGTTTTGAAGCATTTTTTTAATCTCATGAAACAGAGAACTTTGACTTCCATTTGCATTTAGTCCAAGCCAGATTTTCTTTTAGCTCAGTTTCACATCTGAAATGCTGAGGTAATTTTCTCATAATAGTTGAAATAAATGTAGAGTTTCCAGTGAAACTTTTATTGGTTTAATCCATATTAAAAGATGGTAACCATGTGAAATACAGTTTTTGCACATGGTATTTTGCAACTGGTATTAAGTAGTCTGATTTTAATAATTACATTTACAAGAAAGAGTTCCATTCCATTTTGTGCAAAGAGTAGATCCACTCCCAAGTAATATATTAAGACCAGTAAATGTATACATATAAAAATTATCCTCAAGAATTTCTCATTTCCAATGCTGTAATTTCTTCTGAATAATTTCAGGTAAAAAAAAATCAATCAGGGCCCCTAACAGAGGATGTATAGAAATCTAACTGCCTTAGAGGTAACGTCTGCACTTATTTGTTATGCTCAGGTGCAACATTTTAACTCAGAGGTGATGGGATTTTATGTGTAGATCACTTGAAATAGCTGCTTTTTTGTCCTTTGATATCTCTCCTCAGAAATCTTCCCTTCAGTCTACTTTATCACAGTAAAAGTTATCCTGTGATTTAAACATAATTTTTTTGTTCCTCCTAGTTTTACTTCTTTATATTGCTAAAAAAAAATTTCCATTCCTCCCCAAGAAATGTCCTTTTTTGTACCCCAAAGACTTAATATGCCTTTAGTCTTACACTCTGCTTTCCCCCCTTTTCTATCCCTTTTGCCCACCTTCATTCTCTCTCCCACTCTCTTCCATTTACTTGCTCTTTCCCTTTACTGTACTGCAGATTTACTACCAGAATTGCTATTTTGTAAGAGGAGTTCACAAACCAATGGCATTCAGCAGCACAGTGTTCAGCATCCCTGCCTCCTCCAAATATTTGGTGCATTAGATCTTATTTTCACTACTAGTGTTGAACAAAGATGCAGGCATGTCTAAATCAGCCAGAGCCCTTCCTGGTCATCGGTGAAAAGACAAGGCAGGTTTCTGATCCCCTGGCACACACAAGCAGAGGCCAAGGCCATAAAAGCCATTGCTGAGGAGAAACTATTTTTGCGAAGTGTCAAATGGAATCTTGATTTCTTCATACTCCAGTGGAGTTTGGCCATCAGGGACACCAGGATGTCACCTGCAACACTGGCCCTGGGTAGGTTTTCAGGTTTTGTGCCTGTTACTCCTCATAAACTAGCTCAAAGAAAATACCTTTGTTGCATCCTCTCTTTCATGGTTTTCATAAAAATTTCATCAATTTATTGAAGAGACAAGAGTATAATTAGCCATATCCACTCCATCAAAGTTAGCATGGCATGGTATATTGAATGAGCACAAAAGACATGTTAGAAATGGTTCTCTTAGGTAAATAATTTATTCCTGTAATATCTTGGAAATGCTAAATCCAGGCTGCAATTGCTCTCCTTCAGTTTAAAACACTTCCCCTATGGAGAACGAGGGAAGGATTTTTTTTTCTATTTGCTGGCTTTTTGAAGGGGGAGCTAAATAGTTTATATATTGATACTTTAACATGCAAACATTAATAACATAATCAATACCAATACTTACCATTTATGCAGTGCTTTTTCATCCACAAATCTCAGGGTTAGACAGTCAGGTGAAGCAAGAGACTTCTGAAAGTTGCAGTGGTGTTGGAGAGCAGCAATCCAATGGTAGCTGGGATCTCAAGGGACGAGGGAGGAGAAAGGCTGGAGGAGGTTCAGGCAGAGCAGCAGGATCCCTTGGAGAGGGAAGCTTCCCCCTGCCATGGAGAAGAGAGCATGGTAAAGGAAAGAAATACTGCAAGACAGAAGAGAAGGAGGTTTGAAAATAGTAGAGAGAGGAAAATGAACCCAGGAGAATTGGAGCACATGCAAGTGCAGAAGAAAGAAGAACAGATAAAATAGTAATGGAGTTAATAGAAATAATAGTAATAGAAATAATAGAGTAATAGAAATAATAGTTCATGCAACAGGAAAATATGCAATATGGTCTTTTAAGAAAGAAAATAGGAGGAGATGATAACCTATCTCATTTGGAGAGAAAAGGTGCTGCTTATGACTGGAGAACCTGTGATTTTGTTACACCCTGGACGATGCACGCACAGTCCGGGTTCATCCCTGCCTGTGTCTGCTCCATGGGTGGTGCTGTCTTTTCCCTGATGGCTCTGAGTGGAGTAATTTGCAGACTTCTGGTCCAGATGCAGTCTTTTAATATATGTTTGGACAGCTGCATCACAATGGGGGCCTAATTTTGAATGGGGTCTCTGTTTTCTACCATAATTGAAATAATA